ATTATTGATTCATTCGACCTTTGAAAATGCAAAAATTCTAGGGTGCTCCGGAATATGAGATACTACTCGTTTTTTAACCTTTAGATCTTGGTTTGTATATTTTTAAACAAAGATTTAACAGTCAAAACACTTAGAATATCTCCTATTTCGGAGTGGCGTAGAAAATTCTTTGAAAGTGAGCAAACTTAGTTGATTCACGTCAAAACCAACTCTGGACCCACATTGAATGATTGAAAGACATTACGACCTACAATAGGTCCCGCTTCAATGATAGATCTTTTCCTGTACATGAAAATGGTGTTAAACAAAGAAATTTACTTAGAACCAAATCTTTGTGCAACTTATTTTTCACTTCACTCATAAAGATGGACTCTACCATCGCGTGAGAAAGTTAAAAAAAAAACGGTTTATACTCTAAGCCAAGATCAAGCCATTGTCATCTACGAGTAAAGAGAAAACCAACAGGTATTATATTTCGACCACATCCTAATTTTCATCAACTAACACCGAAAGGGGAGAATTTGAAACAGCCACTCAAAGGGAGAAAAAGAGAAGCCTAGTTTAGCTCAATTCATGTAAATACGAAACATATTCAAACTATTTTTTTTGTTGGGAACAACCGATGTGCAAACAATCAATAACGGATTTTCGAATTTCCAGTAAGAGGAGAGAAATCAAGAAGTTCACAAAAAAATTGTCAACATCAGTGATATCACCGTTCAAATCTTTCACTAGTATAATTTTATTTATACTAACATCCCCAATCATTAAATCGGCAGGCAACCTCTTGACCAACTCAACCATGCATATAAAAGTGAACGCATGCACAGACACACACTCGCTAACATGGTAGTTGATAGCAGGGAATAGAGGAAACTACAAGTTTGATGCCAACAAAAGTAATAAGATAATCACATTAAGTTAGGAACTGTGAAATTTAAAAGTATTTAAAAGATGACCTTTCCTGAACAAAAGCTTTATGTTCGCCCTCGGCTCAACTCAATGTGTATCATTTATATCAAATCCCAGCACTGAATCATAAGGTGAACTGCAAACGGGGCACAAAATATTAGCAACTTAACAGAAGAAAAATGTAACAAACTAAATGTTAAGAAATTAGTAGCAGATGAAAACAAGCCTCACCTCTATAAGCAATCATCTCCTGCCATTTTCATACGGCCATAACTGAAAAGTACTTCGAAACTGTTTTGAATCCAGAATCATTGCCGTAGGCCTTGCACTTTGAAGTTTACAAGCTTTTTTTGGACTGTCATGGCATACAAGTTATCATTTTGGAAGTTCTCAACACAAATTCCTGGATTGATTTGAAAGTCATGTACCAACAAAGTCTTAGCAAGTTCTCCTCAAGGTTCTTTATATCGGTGTCATTATCTGGAAGTATCAATATATGTCCCGATCAATTAACGCACATTTCCCGTCTCAAAACTAGGCAGTCCCAGGATATATCCCCATAGCACAAGGTGTGCAATCGCCAATAGTCTCCACAAGAACACACGCCATCCTTAAAATGATGAAATCTATTAGCATCCCTCAAAACTATCTCTCTCTGCGTAACTTTAGCTATTAATTTAATTGCAGAATGGCAATCTCCACAAACCCGAATGTTCTTCATCACACAAATGGGCATCCCATGTGGCACCTTCAGGAGCCCATATGCTCACTATGATAACCCAAGCTGTGCCCCTTCTCTTCTTCTTCTACATCATGCAATACAAAGCTGCCATCAGGGCAGTAACCAGCTTCTCTTAATAATACACCCAGTCTCTGTAACTCTCTCATGATCATCTCATGTTCAGGGTGTCCCGTGCCCTCTCCCCCAGTAAACATATGTACATTTTTCTCCACCTCAATCCAGCTACAGCCAGGTGACTTGCGAAGGCTTCTGGCTCTCATGTTTTCCCTCAGCTCTGCAACATCATGCCATCTACCCTGGGGTGCATAAATATTTGATAGCAAGACGTAAGGCCCTGCTTTTTCTGGCTCAAGCTCTGTAAGTTTCTTTGCTGAAACTTCCGCCAAGTCCATTTGCATGTGCTGTCTGCATGCACCTAATAAGGCACCTCAAACAATTGCATCTGCTTCCACTGGCATTTTTTTAATTAAATCTATTGCCTCCTTTACTTGCCCTGCTCGACTAAGCAGATCAACCATACAAGCATAATGTGCAGTTCCATGCTCCACCTGGTACTTTGATTTCATTGTGTCAAAAATCTCAAGACCTTTTTCTACCTTCCCACTATAGCTACACGCTGAAAGAATTCCAACAAAGGTGATTTCATTGGTTGCTATGCGCAAAGAGCACATCTCTTCAAACACTTGTAGAGCTTTATCTCCCAAACCATGTTGGGCATAACCAATGATCATTGAGTTCCACATAACAATATCCTTTGCAGAAAACCTCTCAAATACTTGTTTTGCCTTCACAAGGTTGCCACATTTAACATACATTGTCATCAAAACGGAAGCAACATATACATCAAGATCAAACTGGTTTCTCACCAACTGGGCATGAATCTGTTGACCATGATCATGATTTGCCAAGCTGCCACAAACAGATAGAACACTTATCAAAGAAGGGAAATTCGGCCTTATACCTTCTCTTTGCATCAAAGCAAACAAGTCAAGGGCTTCCAATTCAAAACCTTTGCGTTCGTAAACTTTAATCATCGCACTCCATGTCCGCTCATCCCTATCTCTCATATTATCAAACACTTCCCTTGCTTTAGCTACCCCTCCATTTTTGCCATACCCAAGTATCATGGCATTACAAGCAACAACTGACTTAATCGGCATTGCTTGAAAAAGATCTGAAGCCTCTATGATCCGTCCACACTTAGTGTAACCTATCAGCATTGCTGTCCAAGACACCTCAGTTTTCTCTGGCATCACTTCAAAAAGCTTTCTAGCGATATCCACCTGTTGGTTATGCACATACCCAGATACCATCGTGGTCCAGGAAACAACATTCCTATGCGGCATCTCATCAAAAATCTCATGTGCTTCAGTCAAACGGCCAATCTGAAAATACCCACCAATCATAGTAGTTCTTGCCACAATATCCTTCTTGGGCATCATATCATAAAGCCTACGAGCATCATCAATCCGACCCTCTTGTATCATGCCACCCAACATCACTGTCCACGAAACAACATTCTTTTCAGGCATTTCCCAGAAAAGTGATTCAGCCTCCGAAATCATACCCTCTTGCATGTACCCTCGAACCATCAATGTCCATGAAACAACGTTCCTTTCGGGCATTGAATCAAACACTTTCCTAGCCTCACTAATCATCCCATTCTTGACATACCCAGATATCAAACCATTTCAAGAAACTGTATTCCGCTCCTGCATTTTATCAAAAATCTTTGGGCTTCTCCTGGCTGATTACTTTGGAAGTAACCTCCAACCATTGAGTTCCAAGACACAATATTTTTATCAGGCATTTGATCAAACACCCTTCGGGCTTTCTTAATTTGGCCAAGCCGAGCATACTGAGCAATCTGAGAATTGGTGGAAATAGCAATACCAGTGCCATATTTCCGAGATAGAATAAACCGCGCCAGCATTGTTACGCTAAGATTGCACTACCTACATAAAGAAAACAATTATTCAGAGATTACTAAATAAAGGTTAGAGGTCTAGTCTAATAAACCAGTTCCCTTTTCTTTCCAGCTCAATCTCGAAAACAACACACGATCTTATTTTTATACTGAAAATACAAAGTGAAACATTAATGACCATATTACAACGTGAAATACAAATTACTCCAGACACAAACACACCTCATATTCCTTCTTCTTTGCCAAGCTTTAGCTCCCTACAGAAACACAGATATCAAATTTCCTAATGAACCTCCGAAGAGAAAACAAATTTGCTCCTTCACAAAGCCAAGGATATTAAGTTTCACGCGCAACATCGGTTGTCATATCGAGCCAGGGATCTTCTCGAAAATGGGAAGATCTAGAAAAGGCGGCCAACCTCCTAAAGGGGACTCGAAGATATAGCAAGTAAGTAGCAAGGTTCTCCATTTAGGACTGACTAGAACAACCTGGCGACAGTAATAGAAACAAACAGTAAGCTCTCGTGTCTATTTGCTTGTAACGCTGTGTTCCCCCTCTCAATCTCTCTCGGGAATGCCATCTCTTTCATAATCTCCCCAATGTAATAACAGCAAAATAACACTGTAATTTCTGGCAGCACTGAAAACCGCCGCAGCTGATCAATGAAATACAGGCAAATATCATCCCCTCTTCATCAGATACCCAAATAGTTACCAATTCCATATCGCACTTCACGGACTACCCCTTCTTCTGAATGCAACTATTCTCAATTCCATAAACATATAATGACCTAAAACTAACTACAATCCTAACAACTCCTATCAAAATTCACTTAAAAAAAACCCCAAAAATGCAAAATTATTTTCTCAAAAATCACACTAGTTGAGTGGTTTGAGTTCATATTTTTTATTTCTTTTTGGGCCTTTTCCTAAATAATACCACTTTCACTGACGCAATTGGAAACACACCAGGAACATCAAAATTTGCCAATGAATCCATACACAAGAATTCAAAACAGGAAAAAAAAAAATCAACTGTATAGAAAAAAACTAATAGAGTAAATAAACATTGAAGATTTGATGACAAGAAATCTCACCTTCGAGTTTAGGGCATATTCATATATTTTCTGGTCGGATCAAATCGAACAGCAGCTGTGGCTACTGCTGAGTTGTCTGAGAAGGAGAAGCAAAGAAGGAGAAGAAGACGGGTCGATGTGGTGGTGCGCGTTTAGGGTTTAGGGTTTAGGGTAGTCGACGAAGAGAGAAGCAGCATTCGCGGCGGCGGGGCATTTTCCAAATTTCTCCGACCGGGAAATTGAGAATTACATGTAATTTTCAAAAACATATAAGGGTATTACAGGAATTCCAACACTTTTTAAACCTGCAACTGCAACCCTCCCAGTCGTTGCTGCTAGATACTGCCCCGTAGCTTTTAGAAAAAGCGGCTTTTATCCACCGCACCGAATAAATAAATAAAGACTCCGTCTGGCGTCTCTCTCACTCTCTGCTCCTTCTCTCAATACCCAGACCCTAACCCTAACCCAAAAACACCATACGCGAATTCCCTCAACTTTTTTCACTCCAATTACACACAATTTCGATAAGCCCTAATAAAAGAGAAGGTATGATTTTGTTGTTTAATTTTGATTTCAGTTTCTAGATTAATCTGCTTTGTGTCCTAATTTGTTTTAGTATACCAAATTGTGAGTGAATTTTATGATTCGTGTGCTGTTTTACCCCTCAGTTTCCTCATATTTACCTTTATTTCTCATATGGGTCACTGGTGTTTTGGTCTGTTTTGCTAGTATATATCAAAAAGCTTGCAGCTTTGTGTTGCCTGTTCAATGAGCTTCAACTCCATGAATATGTGGCTGCAGAGAAAACCAAGAAATGGGGGCATGGAATACTTGATTTTTTATTTTTTTATTTTTTATTTTTTTATTTTTTTTTGCTTTTAACTTATTTGTGTTACTTGGCCAACTTGGAAACTTAGCACCCCACTTAATTGATTGGTTTGGTTACTACTACCATTTACCATAAGATACAAACTGTCGTTCTCTTTTCATTTTCCTATGCTTCTCAGGAAGTTGGATTTTGCAACTTCTTAATCATATGTTGAGTGTTGGATATCCCTGCAAATTTCGAGCCTCACTATGTTTTTGTTTGACATCAGTCTTTCGCATATCCATGGTGTTTATTTTTGTTTTTATTCTGAATAGGTTTTGTGTCAGGAATATTTGAAGGAGTAAATGGATTCTTTTGAAAGTGGTTATTGAACTCTGCATCATTTTATTTGTGAGTGAGCAAATTACTGCTGTATGATGGGTATGGAGAATCTACGAATCAATGAATATCCGATCATGGAATTATTTGCAATTGAATTTAGCTTCATCTTTAATTTGACCTTTAGATACATGTACACAAAGCATGATCGCGAACCGGCATTGATGTTTGGTGATTACGCTGGTCAAATATATTAGTGTGTTTGAGCTTCTTGAGTTGGTTGGTTATTACTAATTTGTGCTTCTAATCTATTATACACACACACACATACACACACACACACACACACATATATATATATATATGCTCTCTCTCTGTGAAATCTCTGACAAACTAATTTTACAGAAAATAAAGGAAATGGAAGAATCAGAGAAAGAAGCTCAGCGGCTAAAATCTCTAGCCGAGGTCAAATACAAAGACTCCAACGTCAAATCAGCCCTCAAATATGCAAAACGTGCCGAGCGCCTGTGCCCAAGCATGGAAGGCATCTCCTCCATGGTCACTGCCTTAAAGATCATCCATACGGCCTCCAAAAGCCCCAATCCCGACTGGTACAAGGTCTTGCAGGTGGAGCCCTTTGCTCACATCAACACCATTAAGAAGAACTACAAGAAGCTCGCGTTTCTTCTCCACCCTGATAAGAATCCTCATGCCGGTTCCGAAGAGGCTTTCAAACTCGTCAACGAGGCCGTTCGATTCCTTTCTGACAAGCTTAGGAGGAAGGAGTATGATATGAAACTCAGGATTAGGATTCAGGATGAGAAGATAAAAGAAAGTGGTGTTGGGGGTTTAGGTTCGAGTATGGGGGTGGAGAGTGACACCTTTTGGACTGCCTGTTCGACGTGCCGGCTTTTGCACCAGTTTGAGAGGAGGTATTTGGGGCATAATTTGGTTTGCCCAAGTTGTAGGAAGAGCTTTAAGGCTCTGGAGGTTGAAAATGGTGAGAATGCCAAGATTAGGACTAGTGAGAGATTAAGGAAAGCGAGTTTGGCATCAAAAGGGGGAATGAGTAGTGAAGGATTGGGGAAGAGAGTGAGTAACAATGGTGAAATAAATGGTGGTACTGGTGGGAGAAGGAAAAGTGATGAGTTGCAGAGGAAGGGTGAAGTAGGAACAGGAGATTTAGACAGTCAAGTGAGTGCTGGGAGAAGGAAGAGAGGTGTTTTGGAGAGGAAAGGTGAAGGGGGAACTGGGGATGTGGATTGTCAAGTTACCTGTGGTGATGCTGGTGAACTGAGTAGTTTGAGGTTGAGGAGGAGAATGAGTAGTGTTGGAGAGGTGATGGAGAGGTCTAAACCAAAGAAGGCAAAAACCGGTGATGAAATGATGACATTGGCAGAAATTAAGCAAAAGGTCCGAGAGGGGAAGTTGAAGATGAAGGACAAGGAGGATGAAAGAGATAAGGAGAAGGGGGAGAGGCTGAGGCTGGGGCATGAAAATTTAAAGAAGGGTAAGAATTTAAAGGTTGAGAGACGCGCTGCTCCAAAGAAGAAGGATTTTGAAAGTGATAAAAGTAGGGGCATGTCAATAGAGAAGAGCATCAGGGGGTCTAAGAGTGGGGATCTGGAAATTATGGTGGTAGAGGATTCAGATTTTTATGATTTTGATAAAGATAGAGTGGGGAGGAGTTTTGAGAAAGGGCAGGTTTGGGCTATATACGATGATAATGATGGAATGCCAAGGCTTTATGGTTTGATTGATGAGGTTGTTTCTGTCAAACCTTTTGAGGTGAAAATGAGTTGGTTGGATCTTCAGAATAATGGTGATGAGTGGCTTGCCTCTTCAGAGAAAATGGGATTCCATGTGTCTTGTGGGAGGTTTAAAGTTTCCAGAAAGACTTCAATTAATTCATTGAATGTATTCTCTCATCTCGTGGATTGTGAAAGGGTGGCAAGAGAGATTTATCGGATTTATCCGAAGAAGGGGTCAGTGTGGGCGCTTTATAATGAAGCAGCTTTGGATGCAGAGGGAAGAAACCTGTCTGTTAAAGACAAGCGGTGTTACGACATAGTTTTGTTTCTGACAACTTATAGTGAGATGCACGGTATGAGTATAGGTTATCTTGAGAAGGTTGATGGGTTCAAGACAGTATTTAAGAGAAGGGAGATCGGGTCTCATGCTGTTAGGTTGCTGGAAACCAGTGATGTTAGGTTGGCTTCACACCAAATACCTTCTAGGAAGCTCTCGGGTGATGAGGCTCCAAACATTTTTAAAGACTGCTGGGAACTTGATCCTGCTTCTCTTTCTCCGGATTTACTTACATTTGGTTTGGGAAGATAGGTTTAGACTATAGTTGTGAAAGCAGAGAGCTATTCGTGTAGCCTTTTCTTCTTCTTTTTTTGGGGTTCAAAGTGCGATATGCTGCTGTACATCCAGTACCCTACTGAGGTGATTTTTGTAGCAAATGAGGGTATTGCTGAACTACAATCTAATCAGTTGCTGTGACTATATAATCTTCCATTTTTTTTCTTTTGGAAATTGATTAAATGCTGGTTTACAATCAAAAGATAAATATGTATGTATACTGATTAATGTGAAGCAGCTGTTTTTCTGTTCTTCTCTTATCTTGGACAAACAGGCTCTTATTTTCTTTTCGCCCAAGCTTTAGGTTATTGACCAAAAAACAATGGAAATGGTCATCATTACTCAGTATTGATAAACAAAATTAAAAAACACTCAGCTTTTGAAAATTAATCACATATAATCCATTCGAACCTCTCAGTCTCTCAAGACATCAAATAAAGAGTAAATTCTAGCGCGCTCTCCCTCTCTCTCTCTTTCTCAACCAATTTTCCTATCCTAATTAAGGGACTGTTTGTCAAGAGAAATGACAGGAAAGTTGGGGGATGTCGGGTTGCTACAACCCATCTCTCTCTGTCTCCCGCTGCTTGAGGCAACGGTAAATCTGACCTCTCTTATTTTTTTCCTTGTAAAATTTTAAAGCTTCAGTGTTTAGTTTCTGGGATGCTATCATTAATCTTTCAAGTAATTGAAATACGAATTTTTTTTTTTATATTTATGATTTAAGCAGAGCAGATGGATACTCCATAGATGTCCCAATCCAATATCTACATTTTGGAAACTTTTTCCTTTTCAAAACATTGTTTTCAGTAGAAGTAGTGTTCTTGGGTTATGTCCTTATAAGTTCAGAGCTGATTTATTCTGGGATTACACATTTCCTTGTGATTCCTTTCGGTTATGTCATATATTAATTGGTTGATTTCTCACAAATTTATTGTATCATATTTCGTGTTTTTTAGGGTGGGGGAGAACTGTTACTTATTATTTGACATTGCAAAATTTTGATGTGCAGGAATCAGGATAAGTGTTGTATTGTAGCTACGGTTGTAAATCTTGATTCATTGCACCGATTACTTTGGAAGTAGTACAAGTTTCGACGGTTTTCTGCTTCTTTCAATCATATCTAATTGCAGTCGTGAGATGGAGAGTGCAGAGTGCTAGTCAAGAATATTGAGTAGCAGAAAATGGTAATCCCGGTTCTCCCTTATTTTCTGTTTTGTAGATTTGAAAATGGCGTGTCATGTGAAGGAGAATTCTGTCTCATTTGTCTCCCTCAATGAGACTTTGTGTCAAGGCATTAGTTGATTATTTTGTTCAAATACTAAGCTAGCATTCTTATTTGACCATAAGCAAAACGTTGGAATTCGATATTGATTATGTGATTGAGAGAGCTTAAGTTGATAGATGATTTGTTTGTATGGTTTGCAACCCCAGCACTCATTGGCTGCTGGGAAAGTGTGAGAAGTTAAAATTAGCACTTCTGTGGGTTTTTCATATTATGAGCAGCCTGCAGGCTAATTATAAAAACATTGCAAGAATAAGACAATTGTCCAAGGTAGACTTGTGTTGAGAGAGTTGTGATTTGGATTTGAAACAGAGTTTCTGAAGAGTGCATTGACTCTATTCTCTATGCTTCTCTTCTGCAATTTCCGAGCTACTGATTGCCCTTCTTTTTACTATTTTTCCTCCCATTACTGGTGGCAAATTTCTTGCACAAATTTTGCTGAATTAGATCGTTTTTGTTAGCCAATGTAGGCTTTAGTTGCTCAAGTGGATGCAAATATGATACTGGGTTTGTTAGCATGACTTGATAGTGTTTGGCTTATTGTCGCCGTATGTACCCGAGTCTAACTCCCACATTTTGTGACTACACTATCTAATGGTACGTGTTATTCCGCTCTCATTTTCTTCACATGCACTCCTCTTTTTTCTACCTTGTGATTGAATAAATCATAAGAGAATCAAAGCGGCAAAAACAAGGGGAGAAGTACAGAGCGATAAAGTGAGTTAAAATCACTTACCTAACTAATTATTCGGATGATTGGCAGTTGACGATTAATTGATTTTTGATAATTATCAATAAGTAATGTAATAAGTATGTGATCGTTGACTGGCACATCATGTGATCGACTAATATGCTAAAAGAAAATGTGATCTGTACAAGCTAGTTCAAGTGTTCAACTGTTGATTAGTTGGCTTTGCAAGCAGGTGGTGCACATCCAACTAAAACTCGGACCCCAAATTTCTACCCCTACGTGGTTTGGCCGGAATCCGAACCAATCCAGGTGCTCAATTTCAACCTCAGGTATTAAGTTATATCCCCCAAGCTAGCAGATATGTGGACACTCCGAGTCCATGCAAAGGTCATTTATGTCATATACATATTTTTTTATACTGACTAGTTGTTATGATATTGCCAAGTTTTATTTAGAATCTTTATTGGGATTACAATTGTTTTTCAGCTTTTTATGTTTGTGTTGCTCGGTTTGTATTAGGGACTTTCTGTTCTTTGAAGGAAAGATTATTGAAGAGAATAAATAAGGTCTCAAGTGGTCTCAAGTGGAGTTGCTGAAGTGCCACAATAAATTAAGCAAACTGAAGAAATAGGTGATAATATGGTTTTTAATTTACAAAAATTTTGTTTATAAATTTAGTTTTTGTAGTATTACTTCTTTTATTTTATAATGTTTAATGCAAAGTAATTTTTTTTTTCTCAGGTGAGCAGTATGTTTGAGGATATTTCTAAATCTTAATTTCCACTTTTTCTCGGTTTTTGTAAGCTTGTAATTTTACTTGTCATTTGATTATAAGAATGTAAACCTTATGAGTTTGTTTATATGGCGCTATAGTCAAACATAGGAGAATTTAACTGAACTAGCCTCTTTGCACATGTCTATGCCCGACCGAGATGCGTTTTTTCAATTATGCACAATTGAATATAAAAATTATCTTTTGAATAATGAGCAATTGAATATTGTCAATTTTTTTAATAATTATTGACTTATGTGTGTGTGTGTGTGTATCTGGCTTCTACAACCTTTGTTTCCTGTATGTATATTTTCAAAACATGTAAACACCCGCAACATTACGTGGGTACTTTTGCTAGTACATTTTAAAGGAAAATAATCCCATTAATTATAATTAATTAACAGAAACTCCCATCAATTATAATTAAGACTCGTTTGGGAAGTATTTTTAAATGGTTGAAAGCTTTTTTTTTTAAAAAAAAAAAGTTTTTGAAACCAATCTTAGTAAAAATGCAAGTTAATTCTATAATTTTTTTTTTTTAAAAAAAGGTTTTTGAAACCAATCTTAGTAAAAATGCAAGTTAATTCTATAAAAACACATGAAATGCTTCCTACAAGAAGCATCAGTTATATGTCATGTAAGAAGCCCTTCAAGTACTTTTAGAACCTAAAAATATTTTGCTTAAAAACAATTTATGTAATTTTAAACATTTCTTAAAACGAGCCTTTATTGTCATCTTATCAAAGAATGTAGCATCTATAGAGATTTGATAATGGAATCCTCGTTTTGTATAATAATATGTTACATACTATATAATATTCATCATTTTATATAATTTACTACCTGGAATAAACTATTCTTTAGTCGTCTATTTTCTGTGAAATGTAAAACAGAAAATCCTCCAAAAATAATTTCAGTGTGCATACGTGGTGTGTCTGCATGCAAAACGTCCACAGAAGAGACAGGCCAACCCGGTTTTCATCAAAGCTACAAAAAATAACAAAAAGAAAGAAGAAGAAAAAACGTGAACAAAATAACGCCTTTCAGTTAAATTTAAATAAACCGAAAACAAGGAGTTACAAACACGAAATACTTTCATATCAAATTATTATTATTTTAATTTAAAAAAAATTACCTGGTAGCTTCACTATGGCAGTTCATATTTTCAGAGACTGAGAAGATTCACAGAGGCATTTCAGCCTTTCCTGGCCATCATCGTGTGATTCACCAACACTAGGAATCAAATTTTGGCAATGTCGTGTGGAGTATGGGCCTATAATTCGTCCTCAACTATTGGGTCATCCCGTGGTGGTTCATACCAAATTATTTTAGATAATGCTATGTAAACCAAAATTTTAAATCAAATTTGCAAACCAAATAATATGTCACCAATAGAAAATAAGCACGATAATCAAGAAAGAAGAAAAAGAAACGTGAATAAAATAATGCCTTTCAGTAAAATCCAAAAAAACTGAAAACAAGGAGTTATAAACATGAAATACTTCCATATCATAATATATTGTTTTTAATTTTATAAAGAGGACCAGCTAGTGGCTACGTTACATCAGTCCATCTTTTTTGGGGTCGAGAAGATTCACAGATGTATTTTAGCCTCCCCTGGCTATTATCATGTGATTCACTAGCGCCAGGAATCAAACTCAAAAAGTGTTGTGTGGAGTACGGGTTTATAATTCGTCCCTAACCACTGAGTCACCCCGCGGTGGTTCATATCAAATTATTTCGGATAATGTTATAGAGACCAAATTTTTAAACCATATTTGCAAACCAAATGATATGTCACCAATAGAAAATAAGCACGGTAATCAAGAAAGAAGAAAAAGAAATGTGAATAAAGTAACGCCTTTTAGTAAAGTCCAAATAAACCAAAAATAAGGATTTATAAACACGAAATACTTTCATATCAAAATCTGTATTTTTTAATTTTAAAAAGACGATCAGATGGTGGCTTCGTTACAGCAATCCACCTTTTAAGGGCCAAGAAGATTCACAGAGATATTTCAGCCTCCCTTAGCCACTATTGTGTGATTTACCAGTGGTAGGAATTGAACTCAGGAAGTACCTTGTGGAGTACGAGCCTATAATTCGTCCTCAACAATTGGGCTACACCTTGACGGTTCATATCATATTATTTCGGATAATGTTGTGGAGACCAAAATTTTAAACTAGATTTGCAAATCAAATGATGTGTTATCAATAAAAAATAAAGCATGGTAATCAAGAAAGAAGAAAAAAAATGTGAATAAAATAACACCTTTCAGTAAAATCCAAATAAACCGAAAACAAGAAGTTATAGACATGAAATACTTCCATATCAATTTTTTTTTTCATTTTTAAAAAAGGGGACCAAATAATGGCTTCGCTATGGCAGTCCACCTT